TCAAGGTCTGCGGAACGACGGTTGCGAGACGGTCTCGGGTCATGCTCAGATCATTCTCGGATCATGCTCGGATCATTCTCGGAATCGTCCGTCCATTGGGATTAGAGTTTTCACTTGTTTCTTGAAGTGAAGATTTCGTGGCAGGTGCAGCATTTTGTGAACCTCCATGTGCAGATTTCGAAGCAGGCACAGCACTTTGTGACTTTGTGCACCTCCATGTGCAGATTTCGTGGCAGGTGCAGCACTTTGTGAACCTCCACGTGCAGATTTCCTGGCAGGTACAGCACTTTGGGAACCTCCATGTGCAGATTTCGTGGCAGGCGCAGCACTTTGTGAACCTCCATGTGCAGATTTCGTGGCAGGCACAGCACTTTGTGCACCTCCATGTGTAGATTTCTTCGCAGGCACAGCACTTTGTGAACCTCCATGTGCAGATTTCGTGGCAAGCACAGCACTTTGTAACCTCCATGTGCAGGTTTCGTGGCAGGCACAGCATCCGGGGAGCTGGAAGCTGAGAACTGGCGACTTTGTAGTACAACTTTAGTACGCGGAGTATGTGGCGAGCTGGACGATGAGAACTGGCGACTTTGTAGTACAACTTTAGTACGCGGAGCAATCTGTGAGCTGGAAGCTGAGAACTGGCGACTTTGTAGTACAACTTTAGTGCGCGGAGTATCTGGCGAGCTGGACGACGAGAACTGGCGACTTTGTAGTACAACTTTAGTACGCGGAGTATCTGTGGAGCTGGAAGCTGAGAACTGGCGACTTTCTAGTACAACTCTAGTACGCGGAGCAATCTGTAGAGCTGGAAGCTGAGAACTGGCGACTTTCTAGTACAACTTTAGTACGCGGAGCAATCTGTAGAGCTGGAAGCTCAGAACTGGCGACTTTCTAGTACAACTTTAGTCAGTACGCGGAGCAATCTGTAGAGCTGGAAGCTGAGAACTGGCGACTTTCTAGTACAACTTTAGTACGCGGAGCAATCTGTGAGCTGGAAGCTGAGAACTGGCGACTTTGTAGTACAACTTTAGTGCGCGGAGTATCTGGCGAGCTGGACGATGAGAACTGGCGACTTTGTAGTACAACTTTAGTACGCGGAGTATCTGTGGAGCTGGAAGCTGAGAACTGGCAACTTTCTGGTACAACTTTAGCACGCGGAACAACCTGTGGAGCTGGAAGCTGTAGTACAAGTGTAGTACGCGGAGGAGTCATCTCTCGCTGCTGAGTCATCTCTCGCGGCGTGCAGGTTTGGCACAGTTCATACTGATAGTATTTGGTTGCATTTATGCAGGACAAAAACTGCTGGTCAATACAACTGCTGGTCAATACACCACTCATCATACACCACTCATCATACACCACTCGTCATACACCACTCATCATACACCACTCGTCATACACCCCTCTTGTCGTGGCAAAGATACAACCCAGTACGCTGTTGTGAGCTGCTGATCCTGCAGGGGGCACAAGTCCGGAGCGCGTGCGTTTGACTGGAGGACGCGCGTGTTGGAGAGAACGTGGACACTCCTATAGGTCAATTTGTTCTTATAGGAAACTTCCGCCGCCGGCTTGCCCGGGAACTGCTTGTAGCTACTACCTATTAGCTACTACCTACCTACTACCTACTACCTACTACCTACTACTACCTACTAGCTACTAC